CCAGACAGTCCAACAACAAACTCGCCACTTTCGCTTTGTTAAATTAAATTTAATATATGACTATAAACATATATATAAACATATCAGAAAGGTAACATACTATTTGTAGTATACATTGATGCAAAATACAGTAATCTAAAGAGGCCAAAACTGAAAAACTGAAAGAAAAGGAGTGCTCGTGAAATATCAATGTCGCATTCAAGCTCAAAACATCCATTTTTTAAATCGTCTCTATCACAAGTTCGACTGTCCAGCGAGAAAACGGTATTTGCTTGCTACCTACGTTTGTGATGGTCAGCGCTTCGCGTAAGCTTAACGTTTATCATTATCCAATCAAATCTAGTTTTCAAGAGTACTCCTGGTTTGCCCGGTAGTTTATGTTAATTAGTGATGGAGTTGGTATAATTAATTACACTGAAATCTGGTATTTCATGCTGTGTTGCCAGTATGTATAGGTTAAGCATTCATACAGACAAGGCACCAGACACGAGTCATTGTAGCGCACCAATGACATTTGTGACTGTTTGAAACACAGGCTTAAAGCCTTTCTCGCCAATACCGGTCATACCTTCATGCTTAACTGTATTTAATGCAATTTGATTGTTTGACATTTAACAACGTTAATAACCTACAAATCCAAAGTAACCTTTTCCGTGTGAAGTGCAGACAAAGTAGACACGTGGGTGAACAAATGTTCAAAGTCATGGAACCGCTGATAATGGACCAATCAGATGGAAACACATCTAATCACACGATCAAATGTGTAATTTCTAATGCAGAATGATAGCTTAAGCTGGAATATTATTTCCTTAACCAGAGTGGGTTACAGGAAGATCCCATTTAAGGGTTTTATCGACTATTGATTGAGGTATTAATGCAGGAAATATTGCAAGAACGGTCCAACTGTCAGCGGAAGTTGAGCCAAACCAAAACTATAAAACATTACCATCAAAAGCTTTAATATTTTATTTTCGTTTTTGTTTTGGTTACACGTTAAACGTTTTATGTTTAATGCTAAACGTCAACAAAATGTCTACATCTTTCAAACAAGAAGCAACATAGTAGTTCCTATCATTTCACATAGTTGTTACCCGTGAAGATCCGAGTTAGAATTAGTGTTCAGCAACCCATAGCTTGCAGTAAGAGGCGACTAACTGAATAGGGTGGTCTGTCTCGCCGACTTGGTTGACACGTCAGCGTATCCCAATTGCATGAATAGATGCCCATGGTGTAAATCATTGGATTGTCTGGTCTAGAACTGATTATTTACAGCTGCTATATTGCTGAGTGCAGCATTAAACAAGCAAACGAACTAACGAACGAACGAACGATGATAGTTTTTGAAATGTTAGAAGTAACACTTCAGTATTGTGTCATCGTGGCGTTGAGTGAGAAAGATCTCGCGGTCTTCAGGAATGAAGACACAAAATCGCTCAAAATTGTTTTATATACACAAGGAACCCCTACTGGTAATTCTTTCACTAAGATTCTCTGTCAGTTATGGTTACTCGACGTTTGAACACTACCACAGGCAAGCCTTGAACGTTGGTATACAATGACAGTTGTATAATACTGATTACTTTGAACAGGCAGCGACAGAAACCTTCTGAGCCTCTCTATGCTGTACTGGTAGTACTGAACATAAACCATTAATCCACATTTGCTCATGTATAACTCATTTATCCTTGACCTGACCTGTCACATTTGAAGTCATAAGTGTTTATTGGAAATAACGAATCGAATCTCCAGCTGTTGCCGTAGGTATTCTACTGAAAACCTTTACTTACTTAAGTATGAACCTGATTGGTAACAATTTGTTAATATTTGCCGGCGACAAAATGTACTCATGGAAACGAATAAGGAAAAACATGAAAGTACAAGTGTTCCTTTATGTATTTCCAGATTGTCACCCACAGTGTACTATAACACATGACAGGAAACCCGGAAAAGGGCATAGGAACACTTGCACTTTCGTGTGTTCCTTTATTAGTTTCCATGAGTATATTATTCGATCCAAATCCTTGCTAGAAGTCTTCTTCAGATATTCATGGTATAAAATCAAGCTCCGTAGGAATATTCCAATCAGTGAAAAATGTGCCAAGAGTTGAACCTTCTGGATTTTGATACGTTTGTTTCATAAAACTAACCCGTTAAAAAGAGAGATTGATTGCTATCTTCCACGGGATTCATCAATCAGTGTTGCACCAATCACGTACATCATAGCGTTTTGATATGAAAACAATCAGCGACACACTTAATGGAATTGTTTGGATGTATCACAGAATGCCATCCACAAGTGTCCATTTATCAGCTGCTATACGGAAATAATTGGTTATAAATTTCAATCAGTTCAAATGAAAGTGGAACGACTCTTTTTGTAAAACCTGATTGATATTTCAACAATAGGCAGTTTGACATGCGATTGGAACCCACACTTTCAAAAACATTGAAGTTGGTCTTTAATTAATGATAGGGCATGAGCATCCGTTGTAAATAAACTATGCTACATGAGCCAAACTTTATATTTTTGGAAATTTTCCTATTCTGAATGAACAATTAGAAAATAAAGAAATGCTTTTGTAATTGATAGGTCTGTTTCATTTACTAAGTAAGGGTCAATGCACATCTCATTTACCCAATTCTACATCATCAAACATACGTTCCGTTTTCAAAATTAGCCACTCTAAATTACCAGTCATCATCGATGTCATAAACAAAATCAACGTAAGTAAGCAATTAATCTGCCTTACCACTCCCTATCTGTACATACATAAGGTTCTTCACCTGCATCATTTCCAGATACGTCTACGAACGGTTTTCAAATTTCAGGACCCGTGAAGATCCGGGTTAAAACTGGTCTTCAGCGACCCATGCTTGTCGTAAGAGGCGACTAACGGGATCGGGTGGTCAGGCTCTCTGACTCGGTTGACGCAAGTCATCGTATCCCAGTTGCGCAGATGGATGCTCACGCTATGGATCACTGGATTGTCTGGTCCAGACTCGATTATTTACAGACCATATAGCTGGCATATTGCTGAGTGCGGCGTTAAACAACAAACCGACCAAACCAAATCTTAAATTTCAGAGATCTATTCACATGATACTTGTCTGTTACTCGCTATGGAATTCGTTTGACCAGTTACTGTACAAGAAATCTTTTCACTGGCGCTGATGTTCCATATATAGATGAAAGCAATTTAGGGCATGCTTTGTATCAAAACGTTCTCCGTAGTGTTTTTATAGTTCAAATATCTTGATTCCCTTGGCATATTATAATCAAGAACAAAGTGCCTTAGACGAGGGCACAGTATACATCGTGTTTGACGATAGAGGAGTGTTCAAAGTCACTTGAACATCATCAGTGGCCCGACTGCATCAAGGAACTGAAGAGGGGACTTCTCTCTGCATCTGAGCTGCTCCTTCAGTCTCACAACCCGGTGTTCTTTCTCCTTGTAGACAGCTTTCTTGGGTGGTGGGGCAGCACCACAGTTTCTCGTTTCTCGATATCACCTATTGTCATTTTAGGCAAAGCAAAATTGCTGAAATTGACCTATAAATATGAGGTATGACCTAAATCTCGGTATGCTTTTACATATTACGAAATCACAATTCACAATGCTATTTATGTGTGTTTAATGTTCTCCAACTCAGTGTAATTTTGTAGTCGTAGGTAGGTCCAGTGCTTAGGCGGATCTAGAGGTGTGTGTGTGTGGTGTGTGTGTGTGGTGTGTGTGTGTGTGTGTGTGTGTGTGTGAGGTGCGCACCCCCCCTTTTGTCCTGAAAGTTTATTAAATGACTCATGAAAACGGGTGAAAATGAAGTGTTCACCCTCCCTTTCTCAAGAGTGTGCTCCCCCACTTTCTCAAAAAGCTGTATCCGCCCCCGCAGTGTCGCTCGAGCGCAAATACCTTCCATTTTCAGATCTTATATAAATGTCCGTGAGAAAAAAACAACAACCCTTCACAACAGCGTGAAACGTTTCTCCAAGCATCAATCACAAGCTGACAGGTCACGATGACTGCCCCCTTAAAACTCGAATATTGATGAACGAATAAACAAACGTTTCACAAACACGGGAAACCGAGAAATCATGTACCACACCATACAGTATATGTACACTGGCAACGTAATTAACAACCTTGACCTCAGCTCTCTTCCATACCTATAGATGTCATACAATACGTCTTACATTACAAATTGGATGTTTCTAATACCTCACATTTATCATATTGCAACATATTATTGCTAGATTAATAATATTTACAACATAACTATCATCTGTAAGCCTGCGAAGAGAAGTATAAGTATCATTAATAAACTAAAATAACAAAGGAAACACGATGCCGTACAAGCTGTGCATGTCGTATACGTTTTGCCCTTCTAGCGTGCATTGTGTAGCTTACTGATAAGGCCTGGATAACATCAAGTAATGTATGGGTTTCAAAGGACCTTGTCTAATAATTCACAACAGCTATGCTCGCGATGTGATTTAAAGGAGCCTATTCATAATTAGTTTAGTATGGGAACGCCGTGGAAATATATATTTTATTTATCCATGTATGTTGATTCTATTTGTTCCCGAATATATTTTGCATATGTAAACGTATACTCCATGATATATTACATATGAACTTATGTACGACCAAAGAAATGAATAATGAACACATTTTATTGAAACGATCCCCTTGAGCTGATGTTCCGGATGTAAAAGGTGGCTGGTTAAGACGGGGGATTCATTTGACGTTGCTTTGAACAGAATTTCAGTTAAAATGTGACATGTCCGCTTGACCAGGGAGAAAAGTAAACGTTTAAGACGTTCACAACTTCAGTGACACACAAGGCTCATAGTGGAGGCAAATCTGGGACTCGAACCAAAGATTGCTGGCTTTAGGGACGCAACTCTACGGTGCCTTCGACGATTGGCCTCCAGTGTTCAAAGGACGTAGCAAGAATAAGAATTAGTGTTGAAAAGGATTTTCACCAATTTCATTATGATCCAAATGTTGTTCGAAGTAGCTTACTTCTTCAAGGTGGAGTTAGTGAGCACGTTTAAGGTCACTTCCAGCACTATCATTGCTGGGAAACATCAGAATGAGTTTGACACAGAGGACCCACGTTGGTAATCGAACCCAGGTCTTTGGCATAGCGAGCTGACACTATGATAGCACTATGCTAAATGTCACCTTTTTCCATTTTGTTTGACAAAATAACAAGAGTGATTTAGAGAATGAGATGGGATTTACGCTGCTATATATAATATGACTACATGAATGGGCTTCACACATTGTACCGACTCGGAAAATCGAACCCGGGTCTTCGGAGAAACGGGCGAACGCTTTTGTCACTGGGCCGCCAGTACAACACATTCCATGAGATATTTTTGTTCTTGTCACGATGAGTGTTAGGATAGGATACACCAAACGGTCTTGATAAATAACTTGTAAACATGGTGCACTGGTGACAATCCGAGTTAGTGGCAACTAACGGGGTCGTGGTCAGGCTCGCTGACTTGTTTGATGTCATTGTATCCCAAGTGCGTAGATCGATGTTCATGATGTCAATCACTGGATTGTCTGGTCCAGACTCGATCATTTACAGACCGCCACCATATAGCTGGAAGATTGCTGATTGCGGAATTAACATCACATAAATACATGTACGTAAAACCTTTGTGTTGGTGAACCAGTACCGACAGTATGACTTTAAATCCTACATCGCGTGACTATTTGCTAGCCAGTTGAAAGTTTTCTTAAGCTATTAATCATTCTCAATAGCAACGTGTATACACTCCAGTTAGAGTATTTACGTGCTTGACTTAAGTGTGTTTGATACACAAAAGACCCATTCATATTGCTGTTAGTTTTGGGAAGGTGTCACACAGCGCCACTTGTGCAACGGAAAATAATGTGTCCCCCTTTACTAGCATGCATATAGGACATCTTTAGGTGGTGAGTACACAACGAAATGTGGATTACATAATCAGCATTAGAGCATAGTTATTTTACATTACATTTGATTTCAAGCAGGTCGTATGGTTTTGTTCAAAGGCATTTTGAACCCGTGAAGATCCGGGTTAGAATTGGTCTTCAGGAACCCATGCTTGTCGTAAGAGGCGACTAACTGGATCGGGTGGTCAGGCTCTCTGACTTCGTTGACACATGTCATCGTATCCCAATTGCGTAGATCGATGCTCATGTTGTTGATCACTGGATTGTCTGGTCCAGACTCGATTATTTACAGACCACCGCCATATAGCTGGAATATTGCTGAGTGCGGCGGAAAACTAAACTCACTCACTCAAAGGCTTTTTGAAGGCCTGTTGAGGACATGTCGGTGACGCTTCCAAATTTTGCACATCAGCAACTGAAATGATGTACGATAATAATACCTTGCATACCTTGTGTTTCATGTGAACAATCGGCTTGCCTTTGCATGTATTTGTGACGAGTGTCACCGGTAAGACAGGATACGTTCACCCATTTGCTATTATCTGGTAAGATCAATCTCAGATGGTGATTCTTAAAACCCGAACCCGAAGCCTACAACTCAGGACCGAATTGTTATGGAAATGTTTCTGTTTCTTGCATTAGTTAATGCACATTCATAGCCCTAGTTAGATCCTTAATGTTAGTATATCTGAATCACATAACGACATTTTATAAATCAGTATATCTCTATGATGAAGCGATAACGCCGAGAATCATCGACCGATATAGCTCTGTATGACGAATGTTCATACACATGCGCACCTCTGTTTAAAGATTTGCTCAAAAGGTTTCCATACCTACACAGAGACATTGTAATGATTTCTGACAGTGGATGTTTCAGGCATACGTTATTGAAAGGTTTTGAAATATTATCTACTTCCAGAGGGACGAAAGGGACCTTTGTCCCATTTTCCCACATCATAAGAAGCAAAATAGATAAGCAAATGTTTGAACTTGAACTTGTTTGTATTTCAGGTACACGATTATGATGGGTGGAGCTTCCAGTAAGCAGAAGGACAGTTCCCATTTGCCTGATGTAAGTAGAATATACATGAAATTAATATATAAATTTAATATTTTTTAAAATATACATATAAATGACAGACATAGAGTGATAGTATCATAAAATACATGTAATCTTGCAGACACATGGTGTTTGAACAACTTGAGTGAGTGAGTGAGTGAGTTTAGTTTTACACCGCTTTTAACAATATTCCAGCAATATCACGGCGGAGGACACCAGAAATGGACTTAACACATTCTGGACTTAACCCATGTTGGGAATTTGAACAACTTGAAACTAACATGCGAGAACTGTAATTTCCTAAAGTTTAGATTCTCTTTATCGATTACGTTGTAGAGGGTCGGATTTTGCAATAGTCTACCTGTATCCCGGCGGACGACAAGAATAGAAAGTATACGCCCATGTTTGACGGTGGTAAAAAAAGAAACAAACCTGAACGTTTTTTTTTATACTGATGTACATTGGATACGTATTAGGGGTCAAATTGTAGAACACATACTCGCGAAGTTCAACCTTGCGAGGACATATCATATCTTAAGGTATCTGATATACCAGATTTAGCCAATAAAAGTGCAACCCGATTAATTCCGTTTTTTGTAGATTCCATTCCGATGGCTATTTAAAAAAAATGTATCAAATAACCTTATAGCACCGAGGGGAATATTCTCCGTAATTAGGTTTTTCATCGCGCTATGACTTTTCCAATACCATTTGAAACTACAGATCATATTGAAGTTGAGAACAGGTATTCCTATTGCTCCGATATTGGTATCTTAACGAAAGCATATAATCGCGTAAGGATATGTAATAACAGGTGCTGTAAACGACCTACTTATATAAATACCAATAAAATGTACGGCTTGGATTACAAATAGGTCGATGTGCCGTACTCGGAGAACAACTACCCACCACTTAAGCCGCCCAAGACAAAGAAAGACATTGTGTACAATCCACGACTTTTCACAGCCATCGATGCAAAGGCCAGTGTGGTAAGAACCACCGATAACCATTGTTCATGGCTCTGATTGGAGTAGGAGCTATTCATCACCTAACAAATATACTGGTACATGTCGTGTATTGGAACATTAAGGTGATTGAGTTTGCGTTTGTTTGACTTCGGCTGGACCTATTTGTTCACTGCGCACATAACAAAGCTCAGAAAACATTGAACACAATACTAAATGTAAGCAATGAAATCATAATATAGTGAAGTAATGCAGCTTATAGGTAATGATAATTTCGCACCTCGTAAATTATTCAAATATTTCCTTGAAGAAAGTCAAAGTTGAAAATAGGTATAACTATCCCGTGGCACACCGAGAAAGTGCTTGCTATACGAGGGATGGCTGAACAGCTCTGAGCCAAACTAGGATGGATTCATAGATGGAGTTGGTGGCTAAATTTCTTTTGGAGATAATCCCCCTCCAAGGTCCTCAAATACTTACATGGGATGGTGGAGTTCCTTCGTACAACTAGCAAAGAATGCTTTCTCCTGATGGTTTAAATATTCTCCACGTCTTGATCATTTGCATGATTCCTACCAGATATGTTTGTGATGGTCAGCAGTTGAAATCTGACGTTGCCCAACCTGGTGAATATGGACGATGTTCAGTGCACCACATGCATATTGCAGCCATGGCAAGAACGATCTTGTGCATACGTGTATTGTCGTGGGAGAACACAATGCCTTCATATATGTATTATGCATTTGGCATAGCAATGTAAATATCACTTATACCGTCATATTGAATAGCAATACAATTCCTATTGAAAATAACTGTTTAGCCTATACTCTTCTATATATACTCTTATACTCTTCTTTTTATCATTAAAACAACTTTGTTGTATCAAAATAGCAGTGTCAAAACACAGATATCATTTTAATCTAACATACCTCCAATGGAAATACGCGTTTGTAGTTTGTGTAAATATGAATACATTTCAGCAAAGGTAATCTTGAAGGACCACAATGATTGATTTCGATTCTGTACAGTTTCCCCTTTCTTCAATTATCAGACCTCGAGGGATGATGCCCTGTCCTATCAAACGTTGATCAAACATTTGACAGAAGGACTTCAGAATGATGTCCAGAAGGTCAGGTCCATATTTGTATGGCTGGCCTCACAACAGATCATGTACGACAATTTCGACGATGTCGTTGACGTCAACACTCCTCTCGGCTACATGCGTCTCATTCAGGATGACAGAGGAACTTACGAGCAATTCTTTGCTCTACTCTGTAGGTGAGTTTCCTAAACGGATTTGTTTTACAACGCACTCGATTTTCGGAAGGTTTGGTGCCCATTTCTAGTCTAGGTCTACATGTTGTAATTTTTGTCAATTTGAAACGTTAACGAGAAAGAATAAAGTGCATTTTGAACAGAGGCAACTAAGCAGGCAGATCACGCTAACTGTTAATAGAGGTTCACCTGACCCGTACAATAGATATTTATTATACTGATGGAGTGGTTTTGTTGCTTTCGTGGAATCTTCAGAGATGGTCAGTTGTCCAGGATTGGGTAGCTTAGTGACTTAACATTCCATTGTCACGCTCACGCTGAAGTTCTGATTGGTTATGCTCCTCGCCATAGTAATTGTCACTGTTGTATAAAACAATATTCACTTACACGAAAGACACCATTTTTGTCCTCATTTGTACATGTTTCCATTGTTTGCAAACAGGAAAGCTAAAATCCCTTGCATGGTCGTCCAGGGAAACATCAAAAGTGCTACATACGAAGTAGGTGACATGGACATAGAATGCATCTATGGCCACTGGAACTTGGTGTATCTCGATGGATCGTGGAGGATAGTCAATCCGAAGTGGGCAATGGTGTCCATTGGGAACTATAGCACTGAACGATGGCGCATGATAGAAAAAGATGGGAAAGCAGAGCAACCAGACAGAGAGGAAGGCAGTTTAGTGTATGTGTATAGTCAGGACGACTTTTATTTCCTCACAGACCCTGAGGATCACATTTACAGGTGTCTTCCAACCAATGCCAAATGGCAGCTTCTTGGGGAGCCTTGGAGTATGGAAAAGTTCCTGATGGTTCCATTAGTCCATAATGACTTCTTTGCATCTGGATTAAAATTACCCGAAGGACAACAAGGTATTCTTGGTGCCAAAGAAGGGGAAGTGGAAATTAACTTCCAGGTGACCAAAGGTGCAAAGGATATCAAATATGAATTATACTGTGATCGGAAAAGCAAGAAGAAACTTCATGGAGACAGTCAGATGTCCCGTTATGTATTTGTTAACAACATCAGATCGACAAGATCATTTTTCATTCGTCTTCAGACAGAAGGGAGATACATGCTTACGATTCTCAACGATACTGACACACCATTGTGCGACTTCAGAATAGACTGTTCTGGAGTCAAAGGGACATGTGAACCGTTTCCTAAAAATCCTGCTATTGGATGGGGTTTCAATGAAACAACTAAGAGAGCTGGGTTGTCAAGTCCTTCGCAAGAAAGCGGAATTGTGACTATTGACTCAAAGAAATCAGTAGATATTACCTTCAAAACTCGGAAGGGGGTAGATGTAAAAGCTAATCTTCTACACAATGAGATTCCTACAACAGAACTTGAAAAACATGTCAATCAACAAAAGGACGGTGACAAACTGACAGTAACCGTTGACATACCCACAACATCTACTAAGCAAGAGTATGCCCTTGAAATTAATGCTAAAGACAGTGCAACTGCCAAGCACCAAAATGTTGCTAACTATCTGTTAACAACTCAAAAGAACAAACCTCATGATATTGCATCACGAGGTATAGCGTCTACTACAAATTCAGGGAAGCATTCAAACGAAACAAAAACAAATGGTTATATCAAGAAAGAAAATCCAGCGGAACCATCTGTTGACAAACAAAATGAGTCTGTACAGACAAAGGGAATGTTTTCCTTTCTTTCAAGCAAGCCTAAAACCAAAGGACCTTCTTCTGAAGAAACTGGTGGAGGCAAGGATAAAGCCGCCAATGGAAGCATCCCTTCCAAGCAGTCTCAAACTGTCAACAGCGACACCAAAACCGGTCACACTGCCGTTGACAAAGCTAAAGACAATTCAAAGGAGCCATCACAACAATCACTGACCTCAAAGCTTAAAAACAAAACATACTCTTTCAAAATCAAAAATAAAGAAACCAGTCAGGATTATGAGTCGTGTGGATTGTCTCCTGAGGGTGTTCCTAATGGAAATCAAGCTGTAGAAAGCATCCATAAATTACCAGGATCGAGGCGTGAGTCTGGAACCTCCATGAATGCAAATTTACTATCACCTAGGAGAACACCTCTGAATTCTCCTTCTCCTGAAATGATTACAGATTATAGTACCCCAGCTCGCATTAAGCGAATGAAAGAGGCTTATTTGACCAATGGTCTCACTAAGGATACAGCTTCGTATAGACATTATGCAAGACAAAAATCACCATCTCCAAATCCTCCAAACGGGGACATTTCTGCAACAGGTCCGAAAATGAAAGGAACTGCATCTCCAACGGGTCCTGCTGTAACAGGCAAAGCTACTACGAAACAGGGAAACCGAAGAGATATGCTAAAGGTTCCACATCCAAATACTCCAGTCTCAGTCAAAGGGTCAACTAGCAAACCGAATCGTTTACAGACAGGTTCAACAACACCCTCATCAATGCAAGCTAATACGCGTGCATCAACGGTCTCAACCATGTATTCAGATAACCCGAGTAGCAAGATATCCACACCTTCAAAGATGACGGGAGTGTCTGGTATCCCGAGCCTCAGGAACAAACAGCAACAACTTTAAAAGACCTACATCAAAAGACAAAGGATCCTACAAATGTAAGCAAAGGCTCCAAAACAAACGAAGGGCCATTGCAACAGCATTCTGAAAAGGTTCGTGTTTAATTGGATCACATGCTATAATATTGTAACAGTTTTTCATTTGATTTGTACAACCGTTTTTGAAATTAATAAAGCAGATAAGCTGAAGTTATATATTTTCAACTTTTTAGATTCAAGATGTACAAAGGATCAAACAGTCTCTAAATGTGAAAGAAACAGGACAGCAAAAGAAAGGCAGTGGTTCGAAATCCCCATGCAGAAAGCAAGGTGTAGATCGTGAATTAATTTGTGCAGGTGAATATATCTGGTCATGGTTTTGACGATACGCTGGTAGGTAGATACGTAGTTAGTAGTGAGTGAGTGAGGGTGAATTAACACGGGTTTGAAATTGTTTACAGTTATATTATGACAGTCTATACACAAAAGTGGCCACCGGACAAAAGCACAAAAACCTCACGAATGAAAATGATTTGTCTTCGATGTTTTCTATTCAAGGTAACTTTTGTGTTGAATGTGTGGACCTGAATAATGTTTCGCTTGTATTTATCAATAAATATTACAACATAATTACCTTTTATCTCCAGATCTTAAAAAGGCAATAGAAAATCGACGGTTATCGGAAATAAACAAACTCTTGGAAGAGACGGGTGTTCATTCACCTGATCCCAAATTAACGGAATTGAAGGAAAAAGCCGAAACTGTCCGGACCGTGATTAAACGAATGAACAAGTACCTACATGAAGTGATGGCCGTCAACCAGGGCACCATCGCAGAGATCCATAGCTACAGTCACCCTAAGCCAATCGTCCATGACGTCATGAGGGCAACATTTCTCCTTCTCGGAGAAAGGGGAGCACAACTTCGGGTTAGTAATATATACATCTCCTTCGGAATCTTCTGAGGTAGGTGTAACGTTGCTTTGAGCAGTTATTTTAATCGTATCACCGCGTGGCAACTGAGTATGCGTTGGTTTGGTTTGTTGCATAACGCCGCACTCAGAAATATTCCAGCTATATGGCGGCAGCCTGTAGGTAATCGAGTCTAGATCAGACATTCCAGCTGCAGCATGAGGATAGATTTACGCAACTGGGATACGATGACATGTGTCAACCAAGTCAGCGAGCCGGACCAACCAATACCTTTAGTCGCCTCTTACGACAAACATGGGTTGCTGAAGACCAATTTTAACCAGGATCAAGAATAATAGGGTCGAACCAGGATTCGAAACCACAGTCATGGGTTCTGGAAAGCCCATGGGTTCTGGCATGCACCTACCCACCGGAACTACGGCGCCTTACACGACTCGACTGCCAGTGCCCCCTCGGACACTTGGGTGACAAGGTGGACCGGTTGTAGGTGCTCGCGCTGTGAGTGTGATGCTGACAGATTAGGGTGTGTAATCAGGGGTTAATCTGATAACCATCAAAAGATGCTGATTGATCCAAGGGATGTACCTCTGATGGGTGATGACCAGAACCTTCCCCCTGCATCACCCTCTCCTCCCATAACCTTTTCCTCCAGATTAGGGAAAGGCTTGAACCATCAACTGTGTAACATTCTCGACGAATGTTTGGCAGATGGAATAAGGTGAAGCGCGGATACTGAGTTATGCCCCTTTCGGTTGATGTCATAATCAGCATGGATGTCGTTAACAACAATGTAGTCTGTATTTATATAATATATTTTATGATAACTTATTCCTCTTCTCCTCCACACACACATAGAGAGTGTCAGCTGAGTCTGTTGTCTTATCGTATATCGTATTATACTATGCTATAATATCTAAGATAAGTACAAATATCTTTGTCATTTGATGACATTCTTTAAATATCGAATGTTTCAGGTATAATAAGATTGGGAACTCCTGGATGTTCTGCACTATTAATAATATAGTTCCACATAGTGCAGCCACGTTTGCTAACAAAATCCTCGCACCTAACCCCATTGAACATTGTATCTATTTTTGTTTTCGGGGCGGGGTGTTTAGTAATAACTGCAGCAAGGACGCACCGCAGTGATTAGTCCCACAGTCCCTGAACAACATTCTTTTCCCAACTGCCTATTCTTTCCTGCGATGCTAAAGCCCTAAATGAAGCAAGTCTAGATTTCCCCTCTGGGGCTCCTTTTCAGTTTAAGTGGGTTTATTTGTTAGCATCAAAATTATATATTCTATGTCTACGCAGTGATGTATGGAGCTACTTAAATCCGGGCTGGGTGACCTCATGACCTCGTCTGATTCTAGTAAATGTTTATCATATATGCATCTCATGTGTATTTGTTTCTCATATCGATGTACAAAATGGCAACACAACTTTGGGAAAACTTTGTACTTGGGGTGCAAGCGTGACATTTCGTGAGTCATTTGTCTCCTTAATCAATCAATGTTATTACTAAGATGTCGATGTTGTTCCTGCTGTCTAGAAGTGGCACTACATACAGCAGCTGATGAGACGCACCAGCAAGGATGGGCTGATCGTGAGGATTCAAGAATTCGACGTCAGTAGCATCAGTTGGGAACTTGCTGAATACGTCAAGCTGATCTTGGACGGCCGTGATCCTGACGAGGTTCGCTTGACAAGTACAGGAGCCGGAGCCTTCTACATCTGGGTAACACGTTAGGAGTTAGTGGGCAGGGTTTACTCCGTTCAGGCATTATGGGAGCCTTCTACATCTGGGTAACACGTTGGGATTTAGTGTGCAGGGGTTAACTCCGTTTAGGCATTTTGGGAGCCTACACGGATGAAAGCAAATGAAGCACTAAACGTTTTTAATCAGGTTTTACAAAGGAAACTTGAAGCCAATCACCACGTGATTGTATGGCATGTTTTAGAGTGTGTGTTTTTTGTTTATCACCCGTCAGCAATATTCAAGCAATGTTAGGCCATGTTCATAATTTAACAATCCAATGAAACCCGTGTGACATGTATGCAACAGCAACGATCCATGTCATCGTGTACGTCGACACCAGCTACACATCCTGATGGCCCACTTGGGTCACCCCTCAACAGCTCGGTGAGATCTTTGACCCCCAAGGGTATCTTTGACATATACGAAGACAGGCCAGCTGGTGTGTGTTCGAAAGTCTTAGCTTTCATGCCCCCAATAAACAAGCTGTCCTCTATGGGAATGACAAGTGTTTATGGATGATCAACTTCTTTATTGTACAATGGCGACGTTTCGGTATAGATGCTTATACCGATTTCAAGCATGATCATTCCTATTGCTCACAACTTCTACAATGCCTCTCAAACAGTTAGACCGCCTCTGTGGTGTAGTGGTTAGAGCGTCCGCCCGGAGAGCGGAAGGTCGCGGGTTCGATCCCCGACCGCATCATACCAACAGACGTTAAAATATGGTACTGGTTGGTCTCTGCCTGGCGCTCGGCATTAATGGGTAGAACAAGGACTGGTCGGCTCGGAGTCAGTATAATGTGTCTGAGTGGGGTATTCATGCTTCACTGCGGCATGGTATCTCAGTGGGCTAGCACCATAAAACCAGCTTCAGTCTGGGCTAGTACAAGCAGGCGCACATACACATACACACGCATGCACGTCGTCATATGAGCGAAATATTCTCAAGCACGACGTAAAACCCAATTTCACCTCACCTCACCTCACCTCACCTCACCTCAAACAGTTCTGTCTTCCATGGATTCATCATCATTGCATCAACATTTTGCAAATGATTTGTGACACTTTGAGGTGACATACTGATCATTATCGCCTTCAGTGAGTGAGTAACAAATGTAGAGTATGGAGTGTTTCAATTGTATTGTCACAAGTCAGGTTAGTGTGAGAGACACCCAAAACAGCACAGTTCGTTCCTACATTACTGAAACCCACGAGCACGTTTAAGGTACCATTTGTTTGCTGTTAGCAATATTCTAGCTGTGTAACGGCTGTCTGTAAGAAATCAAGTCTGGATCAGACATATGCATCGATCGACGCACTCGGGACACGATGACATACTAAGTCATATAATCTGGTCGATTTGTGTTCACTGAACACAGCAATGTTTGCATGTCTGCTTAAATACTCACATGTTAGAATTACAGTCGCTATATGACACAATATGTGTGTCTTGGTATATGTTTTAAAACATGTTTCTTATATTTCAGTGTAGAAACATCATCAACGAAGTTCAACAGAACAAACAAGCTGTCAAGTAACAGCTATTATCATGACTGAAGTGGGTCAGACACGCTTGAGAGCCGCCAGAGAGGCACCACGCGTGTGTAGTTGTAACTAAGTACTGGTAATCAATGTACACAGCGTGTGGAACTGAAATAAATTACACCACGTGGCCACAGGTGTGCAGCTGTAATAAAGTAGACCATGTCATGTGTGCAGGTGGTTAGCTGTAACAAAGTATACAACGACGTACACGTCTGCAGATGTAACAAAGCACACACCACTTTGCACGTGTGCAGCTGTAACAGTATACCACTTACAATGTACAATGCACACACGTGTAGATGTAATAAAGGACAAACCATGTATACACAGCAGCTGTAACATTTTTCAAAACATGTTTACACGTGTGCAGAGTGTGCAGCTGCAGCAGGGTATAAGGCGTGTACATATAACTTTAACACTGCGCTGCAGGACGAGTATATCCAATAAGTACCTTGACTTCTCTCCTACGGTGTTGGGGCGGCGGGGTAGTCTAGTGGTTAAGGTTTTGCCCGTCACGCCGAAGACCCGGGTTCGATTCCCCACATGGGTACAATGTGTGAAGCCCATTCTGGTGTCCCCCGCCATGATATTGCTGGAATATTGCTAAAAGTGGCATAAAACTAATATCACTCACTCTCTCCTCACGGATCTTAGCCTCACGACCATACTTGTAGAAGACATTTTTCCCGAAGATATAATTTTGCCTCAGGTTGAAAGTCTTTGAACTGCATTGAGAAGGGATACGCACAATGACAAAGAGTGATGGATGTCAGCTTCTTTATTTTGAGTAGCTCGACGTTTGGAGTATATTCATCCTTCATCAGGCGAATGAAAAAACAAGGAGACGAATAGCTATATAAGAAGTGTGAAATTACAACAGTGATTATGTAACAAGGACAGCCAGTAGTTTACTGGCGCTGGTTGGTAATAGCAATGGAAATGGAAGCATATGGAAGCCAGGGATTAAAAATAGTCAATTAAATATAAATGCTTAATCCAGGCGTCAATGATGCCTCAGGTTGTGTGTTTTCTTAGGGTAACTGTGTCCTCTGTTCATGGAAACAATGCGTCTATTGATCAAAGCGGTGACAAAAAATACTCTTTGAATGTCCATGTAAGATTTGCCCACTAGAAAATGGTCGTCAACAAGGGCAGTTGAACTGAGAGAGTGTTGCACATCTGACATCACAGTGTGACAAATGAGAAAGAAATGTTAATGCAGATCACCAATCATAAGTGTTGATTGGATGGCTATTTCTGCAATGGCGTAACTATGGGAGATCACGGCGTCATGCTTATACAACTGATTCGAGGTGGTGGCCGAGTTGTCATATACCTCATCTATATGTATCTGGTATACAAGGCTGCACATACATCGCTTGTAAGTTCGGTTACGAAACACACAATGAACTCAAAATCGGTCACTTTCATTTAACCCTTATGTAGATTCTTTTCTTTTCTCAACATCTACTAATTAGATATCTTAGAAGGGACACCATTCCTTTGATGTGAGATAGATGTTAAAATGTCAAGGGTTGAGACCACAGTGAGAGTAGCACCAGTGTATTGGTTTTGTACATATTAAATTTCAGTAATATATCCTTCTCGTGTTTGTTCCTTGTGAGTTGTAGAATTTTATCCTGGAATCTTAGACATGGCCTATGAGCAAGAACTGTATATCGTGTTACAAGTGTGTTTATTCAACGCGACTGTACAACTTGAGTTGGTAGTATATTTTGGGGATTTCGCATGATCAGTAATCATAAACATGACCTAAACGTATCAATATGTGTTCCTATAAGTTTCAAGGTGAAATGTTGTAAAGATTGAAAATGACGACAATCGTTTCTGTGCTCTTAACTCTTGATTGAGATGGTATTAGTTTGAAAATGGGAGGATAGTTTATAATGGATCCTTGTGAGAGGAGGTGGTGATGCTTATATTATGTCATTCTTTTGTATCACTTGCAGATCCAAGTTAAAATTTGTCTTCAGCAACCCATGCTTGTCGTAAGAGGTGACTAACCGGATCAGCTGGTCATCGTATGTCATCGTATCCCATTTGTATAGACCGATGCTCATGGTGTTGAACACTGGATTGTCTGATCCAGATCGGACTATTTACAGACCGCCGGCATATAGCTGGAATATTGCTGACTGCCACGTTGAACAACATAAAAACAACAACAAAGCAACAACAAAAGTATCACTTTTACTACCTGTATGAAGGAGGTAAATTAGATACATTTGCTCAATCGGAAAACATGAGGAGAGTCTTTGTCAGTTAATGCGCTCAGGTTCTGAAATAGGAACAAGCATGACATCAAATACCCACTCTTGACAATGACTAAATAGTTTTTAGAAACTTTTCGTCTTTTACACGTACAAAATACTTTGACGTTTACACAAAAAGGAGTTAAAGTCATTGGTTGTCCCTGCTTATAACCATTCCACTTGAAAGTGGTGAACTTGCTGAGCAATGTGTTAGCCTAGTGGTTAAAGTGTTCGTTGGTCACACCAACGACGACAAGTGTTCGATTCCCCAATTTATTCTGGGTGTAGAGTGAGAATCCCATTTCGGTGATATTGCTGGGATATTGCCAAAGGTCTCGTAAAACCATACTCACTCACTCTATATGACTTTTCTTTCACAGCACAGATGTTAAAACTAATCCGTTTTTAATCTTTTTTATGGTCATGCTGGGTGTATGTCTTTCGAAATGATAAAATGTCGCTGTTTTCACCGTTATTAATAATGCCCAAACCAAACTGACGGGCGAAATGAATTTTTAACTAGAAAATTAGATTTGACTGAAAAATTACAAACGTTATGAAAACTGCAAACGTAAAATATAAAACACAACCACGACACTCGTATCAAGTAGGTCCCCAATCAAACACAATTTCTTGTTTGGTCCTTTTTTAGCTGCCATCAAACTGTGGTGTATACTTTCTACTGCCTGATGACTTTATATAAGAATTCAAGCGAAAGATGAAAGCAAATCTGCACTGATATACCAGTAGACTGACTGACTGACTGACTGAGTTTGGTTTTACGCCGCTTTTAGCAATATTCCAGCAACATCACGGCGGGGGGACACCAGAAATGGGCTTCACACATTGTGCCCATGTGGGGATTCGAACCCGGGTCTTCGGCGTGACGAGCCAACGCTTTAACCGCTAGGCTACCCCACCGCCCCTTACCAGTAGACAGTAGATGTAATGGTGAGATATTAATTTGTAACAATATTTAAGCTAACAGTAATTATTCAGTCCACTGTTACTGTGATGATGACACTGGGTAGTGGATCTATTTTGATCAGCCACTTTCCTTAAGTGAAATCCGATACTTGCTTCTGCAGCAAAGATATAGAATTAATTTGTAACCGTACACAACCTCAGTGGTTGTATGCCCTTTTGTATATCGCAAGGT